AATATTCTTCGTTAATCCTTGTATACATTACAAAGGAAACTTCTCTGCAAAATTTTGCTATCTAGGTCTAAGGGTTTTGCCTGAGGTTGGTGAGACGATGAGTCAGGGTTTTTGATTTGTGTGTATAGATTGGCCGTAATCCACCCGCTTCACTGGGCGTAAGTTGACACCAATTTAATAGGTAATAATGATTAAGTAATTCCCGTCGTTCAGTCACGTTGGACTTATAAAAGTATCTTTTTTTTTACAAAAATCTCGAGCTAAAATGATATCTACAGTTATGTGATGTTTCTAGATTATCCACATTTTTGTATCCTCTCTCTGGACAACTAGACCTAATTTTCTCTTTCAGTGACGCATTTAAGTTACTGGACAGTTCGAAACCGTGACCGACTGACTTAGTTCCAAACGAAAAAAAAAAAATAAAAGAATGAAATCCGAGCAGTTATTCTGGCGACCAACCAACAGCAACAAACGCAATCATTTCGAAATTAGTGAAGGTTAATATTAGTGCGGTCCGCAATTTCCTATTCAAAACCTGGAATAATTTCGTCAAATTGGCCGTTCTAAGCAATCGAGTCTACCGTTTCTGACCGTTTTCTAATAAGAAGGGTGCAGTGTGGGAACGCGTCTAAGAATGCGCTCCCTGAGGCCTCCCTCACGCGATTAATATCCGGTTCCTTACAAGAAACCAAACCAACAGCAACGTAATATGTTGCGAAAGACATGTTCCACTCCTCTCTTAATTAATTATTATTATTATAACGTACTATGTAGGTACCAATCCATATCATCAACAATGCTATTGGGACATAGTAAAATACAGACAATTTTAACATACATTGAAATTCCTTTACCTTACTATTTTAAGTCGAATATTAAATTATGTGTATAAAAGAAGTTATAATGCGGTTGAGACTATGGATTTATGCAAATCTCACATATATTTTAAGATAATAAAATCGACATGAGCAAATGAAAATATTAGCCAAGTTCAAAATATTTAATGCCAAGTTCAAACTATTTAATGCCAAGTTCAAACTATTTAATGCCAAGTTCAAAATATTTATTGCCAAGTTCAATTCCGATATTTTGTTATTGAGCATACATATAACGATTTAAAAAATGAAAGATTTTATCTATTCCTGGTAAATTATCTTTCCTTGACTTTGAACTAGTTATTAGCAATGTGACTACAACAAGGACTTCTCTAAAATAAGAACCCCATTGGCTCTAGCTCCACTCACAATTACCCATTAGCTTCTTAATATTAGTTATCGAATATGAATATACAATATAGAAACGGTACCTTCGTTTTGGTCTACTTTTTTTCAAATCGACCCGTCAATTTTCTAAAAGACGTTACCGTTGTTACGTAGAATAATAAAGTTTTTCTACGTTCGCGACGCATACGTCGGCCCCGTCGCCACCGTCGTCGTCGCTCCATCGCCATCGGCCCGTTCGATTAGTGTGGCTCATCAGATAAAAGAAAACTAGTCGATCGTAGTGGGTACTACACACGATATCGATGTCGTTTTGTTCGGTCACGGTGGCTTGATGGACTGTCAGCCGTTGAATGCCGTCCGACTTCCTATACGGCTACTTAATGTATTCCTCGCACAATGGACGTGCTATTACAATCAATAAAGCGGATCACAACTGCAGATAACAATTTTACAGATGTAGATGTATTTTTATTGCGTTGCTCATGTCGAACGTCCATTATTTGATGTTTCGTTTTCGTCTCGCCGCAGTCACTGCCATCGCCATCAGCATCATCACCGCCGCCCCGATGTGCAACAAGTAAACGAAGAAGAAGAAGAACAAGAAGAACGAACGGGTTACCACTTACACACTCACTATACCTAGTACGATAACACCATTTCACTTTGTTGAACGTCTGTCGATTGATTTCTCATCATTCCTTTGCGAAGTACTCTCGGTGGGTATTGTTGACGTTGGTAACCATGCGGCATGTTTTGTTGCTCGAAAAAGCCCCTGGCCGTGTACTAGAGAGTTAATGTTATTGCTCCAATGTTTGTGGAAAATAAGACGTTTACCATCAGTAATTGTAAATTTGTAGACGATTCTGGAATATTAACAATGAATCGTTGTAAAATCCTCGGGTTTCCACGCCAATCACAACTCTGTAGAGTGATATGGTAGCAGACAAATCGAAATACCGATGGCTGCCAATAATATAATCATTATGTCGTTGCTGCTTCGACTATATTCTTTAAATTTTATTCATACAAAATCGACACGTTGATATGAAAATAGTAGCCAAATTCAAAATAGTTAATGCCATGTTCCTTTTCAATATTTTTTTATTGAGCATGTAAAAGTTTAAAAAAATGAAAGATTTTCTTTTTCGACGATAAATTGTGGCCTACAGACAAAGCCACAACTCTTCAAACGGATCCTTTTTCCTTGTTGTTGTAAAATTCCAAATATTTGAACTTGGCAAATTATATGTAATTGAATATAAATATGTACTACAATTTATTTTTTAACTGTAAACATGTCCACTACTTGTAACATTCCTAACTGCTAGTACTGTTTCAACTGATCACTTTTTCTCCATGCCATAATCCAGAAAATTCATCAATTTTATCTAGCATGCAAAACTTATATGATTGTGTTACAATGGAAATATGTTGTTAAGTTTGAATGACAAAGTACACATCACATTATTCTACAGTAGAACCCTCTGGTACCAAATGTTACTTCTTTACAATCACTTCGTTTTCTGGATCATTCAGATTGATAACACACTGAAATCTCCATTCTAGCCAACTCTCATTTATCACAGAACTGAGAAGAAAAGTCTCTCAGCTAAAACGCTGTTGAGGATACCTTCATTCGCAGTGCTTTCATGTCGATTTGTAAATTGTCCGATGATTAATTTCGCAGAAGTACTCGTTCGTCAGTTTATACTCAGTCGTTCTTTCGTGTCTATTCTACCATTGCAATCAAATTAGTAACACTTCATTAATTTGTCACCGGACGACCGACATGACGGACGGCTCAGCTACTGTAAGGTACTCAGTCATCAGTCGGTTGTATAATGGCGATCAGAGAATGCTAGACCAAGGAAAATTTCACTATCTCAAAGGTATTCAGAGCTACCTTCAAGAAAAGGTTTTAATCTACAATAAATATAAACACAAAATAATAGAATTTTCTTAACGTTGGACATCAGGGGATGAAACAAAACGACTTAAATGTACAAACGACTGTGAAAGTTTCCAAGTAAAATCAAATGCGAAAGTTCGATTCTTCACTAAATATTCTTCGTTATTCCATGTATACATTACAAAGGAAACTTCTCTGCAAAATTTTGCTATCTAGGTCTAAGGGTTTAGCCTGAGGTTGGTGAGACGGTGAGTCAGGGTTTTTTTTGTTATTGTGTGTATAGATTGGCCGTAATCCACCCGCTTCACTGGGCGTAAGTTGACACCAATTTAATAGGTAAATAATGATATATTTTCTTTCCCTAGAATCCTTCCTCGGATTATTATGAACATTTTCAAATCAATATCAGCCCAATCGGTCCAGCCGTGTTTAAGTAATGCGCTTATTAACGAATAGCATTTAATTTTTATTACGTGCTTGGCAGTTTTGTCACTGCGTAACCCAAAGCTAGAGTTCATGGGATTCTTAAGTGCCTCTAACAATAAGTTAGAGAAACAGTTTTGGAAATATTCTGAACTAAAATGAAACTAAAGTTTTTAAATGTGATTAATATACTTCAGATTCTTGTACAAGGTTCATATTATATTTATTTACTTGCAAAAATTAAATGCATTGCTTTGGAACAAAACAGCATTCGGGTTCGTCGCTTTATTGCTCATTGAAGTCACTTCGAATTTGGGACTTAAAACCAAAACCTAAATTATATACCCCGAAGCAATACATACTGTCCCCAAGTATAATATATTGTTCTCCCAATATATAAACTCATTCAGGTGAAAAAACCATTTTTGTTAGACAATAACCTCAACGTTTCACCCTTTGTTGATAACCATATTTACCCTGCAATCCGGTGAATATGATTGTCAGTTTTTTAGAGAAATTTCGACAAGATATGTACGAAATCGTTTGGCAACCCTGTCGCGATTGGTCATTTCGTCTGAAGACGCTGTTGCTTTATAGTTCTAGTTTTCTCTTTCTTTCATCCCCTAATGAATGCGCGCAGGTGCGTGATATATGCACACTCGAGTTTCTTCAGACAACCGAAACAAATTAATGTTTGTATTAATTTTAATCTGTCACATCCGTGGATGATAAATGCGCTGCTTACTTTATATAGATACACCGTGTCTAAGACACTAATAAGTTTCAGTTTCGTTATTGTTTCTTTCAGTTTTAATTAATTTGGGGGTCGTATTATATTAGGGTGATTCAGGTGAAATGTTTCAAGGTTAACTAGCTTCTTAGACGAACAGTTTTTTTTTACATTTTAGTACGCATACCCCAATTTTTTTTTTAATAAAAACAGAAGTTAGGATTATAATCTATATGCATAATACTTGATAGAGATTCGTAAGTAGCAGGTACATGTACCGATCGACTGCGCATATCGAATTAAAGACTTCAACATTCTATGCCCATTGAAAAAGACTGCGGGACGAATGGCTACACGAATCGTGCGTGGGCGACTAAATTGTGCACCCTTAGAACGAACACATTCTTGAAAATGTGTATTTCTCAAGTTTCAGACTTGAATAGCGAGGCATTGTACAACTATAGTAAACTAATAGAAATCGAAAAATAGTTTTTTCATTTCTACAAAAATGTCCCAAAATTACGACAACTCAAGAAGGAAGGTCCACATTATGTAAACATAACGTCACTTTCCTATTTATATTTCATTGTATAGTTTTTCTCTAAAATAATGTTAAACGTAGTTTTAATAAACTTTTAATTATCTACGTAATTATCTAAGTATCTACATAATTGATGATTAAACTGATTTTGACAATTTATTTTCTTTCCAGGATAAGCCACACAAATGTAACCTCTGCAGTAAATCCTTCCCTACCCCTGGCGACCTGCGATCTCACATGTACGTTCACTCTGGTTCCTGGCCTTTCAAATGCCACATCTGTTCAAGAGGTTTCTCCAAACACACGAACCTCAAGAACCATTTGTTCCTCCATACCGGTAAGTGAGGACAATAATGTTATATGTTTTGATTTATTAGAATGTCGTTAATTATTTTATTAATCAGACAAATACTTAATATAATCTAAACAATTGTTGCAAAAAAAATGTTTATTGCATAAAATATTATCATGTTAATTGTTTCTAATGCATTATATTTTGTTATTTTGTATGACTGTACTAGAAACGATTCCTTTACAAACCTAAAGTATATAAGATATGAAATTAAATTGACGTATTATTTCAATTATTCTAATATGTATCGCTAGCTCAAAAGTTCATGGACCAGGTTGGAGAAATTAAAAACTAAAAGGGAATCGAAAAGTTTTTACATATGATTAATCATTCAGATTCTTGTAAAAGGTTCATATTTTCAATATTTTGTAACAAAATCTAAATACATACATTACTTTGGAAGATAATAGTAATCGGGTTCGTCGCTTAACCGCTCATTGAAGTCTCTTGAAGAATTGCGTTTAAAATTACTAACTTAAAGAAACTAACCGAAAGAAATTAGTGTTTAGTTGTACAAAACAATTGTTAAAACACTAAGGCTTGTTACTGGTTAACCCAAGGTTAAGATTCATGGGATTCTGAAGCGCTTCTGAGAAAAAGTTTAGAGAAATTGACAACCAAAACGAAATCAAAAAGTTTTTAAATCTGTTTAGTATAGTTCAGATTGTCGTAAAAGATGCATACTGTCATTATTTAGTCACGAAATGTAAATACATTGCTTTGAAACACAATACTGGTCGGGCTCGTCGCTTAACCGCTCATTGAAGTCTCTTGGAGAAATGCATTTAAAACTACTAACTTAAGGAAACTAACCGAAAGAAATTAGTATTTAGTTTTACAAAACAATTATTAAAACCCTTAGGTTTGTTATTGGTTAACCCAAGACTTGGATTCAGGGATTTATGAAGCACTTCTGACAAAAAGTTTAGAGAAATTGACAACTAAAACGGAATCAAAAAGTTTTTAAATCTGTATCTCGGATTGTTGTAAAAGGTTCGTAGTGTCATTATTTAGTCACGAAATGTACATACTTTGTCTTGAAACATAACTCTCATAACAGCAGTAGGGTTCGTCGCTTCACTGCCCATTGGAGTCTCTTGGGGTTTTTCATTTAAAACGACCAACTTAATGAAATTAACTCGAAAGAAATTAGTATTTAGTTATACAAAACGATTATTAAAACCCTTAGGTTTGTTATTGGTTAACCCAAGACTTGGATTCAGGGATTTATGAAGCACTTCTGACAAAAACTTTACAGAAATTGATAACCAAAACGAAATCAAAAAGTTTTTAAATCTATTTACTATAGTTAAGATTGTGTAAAAGGTTCATAACAGTCATTATTTAGTCACAAAATGTAAACACATTGCCTTTAAACATAACAGCAGCAGGGTTCGTCGCTTCACTGCTCATCGAAGTCTCTTGGGGTTTTTGATTTAAAATAACCAAATTAATGAAATTAACTAGAAATAAACTAGTGTTTAGTTGTAAAAAACAATTCTTAATACATTTAGACTTATTTAGTTGTAAAATATTCAAATTCTACAGCTACCAATACAGAAACACGCTCTTTATTGTTCACGCTTTATTTTTTCGTGATCATCACCCCGTATATTTCGAGCGTATCCATTAGAAACCCATAGATAGCACTTTCGAGAAAAAGGATCTTGATAAAACGTTAATTACTATCATTTTCTCGCGCGTAGATCTAATCAGATCGTCTTTCTTCTCGGGATGAGAGGCAATCGGTGACGTCTGCCGAATTTTAATTACCAGCCTACCGTTCGCGTCCACTCGCTTCGAAACGGGGTTACAGGGATACAACGTGATTATATCCCACCATACCGTCAACCAATCACCTACGGGATGCAATCTCCTTATTACCCTGTCAGCCGCGTAGATGTCAAAAAGAATACGTCGAATTGCAGCAGTAGATACTACTTCACAAACATATTATTATTTTCTTAATTATTAGTACGCTTCTTCCAGGGTCGGCGTTAGAACGTTTGCTAGCTTTATGCAAATCCAATTTTTACCACCCTGCCCTTCCTCAATACTTCCTAACAATTATTAAAAACAAATTAAAAAATATTCACGTACCTACTAGGCGTTACGATTAGAGGTAATTCAGAATTTCATGGGTCATGACCTTGAGTTGCGCAGTGACAATTGCGTTCCGCATTCTACTTCTCCAGCGTAGCATTACATAGTCACAAAAAGAGTCCTGCACTTTATCAACACCAATCACCATAAATAATTCATGTCAAAGGTAGACAACATGTTTTTATTTTCTGGTAATTTATTAATAATAGTAATTCTCGTAATTACCCGCATTACCATTTTCCGTAAAAGCGCATTTATCTACAAATGTTATGCGTACCTAAATTAGAAATAAAATTATCTTTGAAGTCGATGATTGTTTTCGTGAGTCACTTAATGTTTACGATGTGGTGTGGTAGAGAAAACCTTTCGTAACTTATGATTCTTTTATTTATTAATTAGCGACCGGTATCAGTACAATATAAGGCGTTTTAATTCCGAAGTTTTGCCTATTTATTATTAAAAATGCTTCAATCAAAATTCTGAATTATAGCATGAGTACTTTGACGTGTCTATATCTTTTTCTTTTTACATTTCCTTATCACTTATTGAAAAGAATTTACCAAATGAAACACGTTAGTGATTTCTTATTATCTAAACTGCTGTTAATTATGCTCCCTACAGTTTATATCGTGTATTAACGTATTACTTGAACTAATTACGGAGTTGGTTGGTTGGGTAGTCTTCTAACATCTAACGCACGTAGCTTGCACCAATTATCAACTCAATAACGCAATTCATCACAGGTAATTAACGAAAGCCACGTAATAAGGTTAAATTCTCTGATCGTTTTATTTAATGTGCTTATTTGCGAACGCCAATTACGTGATAGATAGCAATAAATTTTTCGTGTTTTTCCGTCATCATTTTAATTTACATTCTTCGTGCCTCGCAAGCAACTAATGGAAACAATATGACACTTTTAATTCTTAATAGTGGTTATAATATGAAATATTAATGTGAAAATTCCTTTTCAATTTTCCTTTCACTACAAACTACGTCAGGTTAATGAGGAAAAGTTTTTGTTGCTGTTGTCAAAAGAGGAGGTCTCCCCCACCACTGTACCATAAAAAGTTCGTGGCGGTCTCATCCCCATAAAAAGTTATGTGGGTTAGATGGGGGTGGGGGTAGGGGGGATCGAAAGAGGATGGTCACCTGAGTAAAACCCCATAAAAAATTTGCGGCGGTCTCACCCCCATAAAAAGTTGTGGGGGTTGAAAGTTGATTATTTTGACAATCTTCATACACTATAATTCAAATAAAATTCAATAAAAAAATTATTTTCAAGCGGGTGGAGGTGGGGGATCGAAAGAGGGTGGTCACTTGAACAAAACCCGATAACCTAACCTAACCTAACCTACCCTATTGATAAAGATATTTAAATAATGTTTTATATAACTTTCTCAATATTTTTATGTATTTTTCATTAATTTTACCTTTGAATATTGTTTAATAATGACTATATAAATATTTACATGCCTTGAAATGTATACCTAAAAATTGGCATATTTATTAACTTTGAACCCCCAGCACTTTTTATGGGGGTGAGACCGCCACGAACTTTTTATCGTACAGTGGTGGGGGAGACCTCCTCTTTCGATCCCCCCCATCATCTAGACCTTTACCTAACCGGCCATTACGACTAGAGGAAAAGGGGCTTCTTATCTATCGTTTTCATGCTTCATATATTCAAATTTCTGCCTAAACTAAAATATTAAGTAACAAATTGTTTGAATTGCTTTATTCGGTACCCGGACTTGACCGAAGCGCGGTCAGAAATCACAGTCATAAATCTATTGATGGGGGTATCGGCTTGCAAAGAAATAAAAAAACAGATAAAATACAAGAAAAATAAACAGGTTTTTATGACTGTATCCATGTTTAATTAGGATCGATTCACCTATTGCGTCCCTTTGACTTGTTGATTAATGAAGAGACGAAATGTATAAGGATGGCTAGCGGTCCCTCTAATTAATATGTAAGTTTCTTTTAAGAAAAAAACAGTGCTCAGCAATGAAAATGTAGGAAGCGAGTTTCGATTATTAATAGTACACTGTTTCCTACCAAATTAGTTGCTGATGATATCTTTATCGACCGCAATACGTTACTTTAATCGCTTCTCTTGTAAATGTTATTTTTAATTGTACAGTATAACAACATCAACTAATACAAGCGTAGTTTAACACTTTGATTTTGCATTATATACGAGTAACGTCAAAAAGCGTTGACTTTTTAAATGATCTTGTACATTTTGGAAAACTTCTTGCTAATTAACTAAATTTACTGATGTTTGTTGTTTTTCCATTTTAAGTGCACAAAAAAACATACCTTACACTTCATGTTGGCTAAATTAGGTTAGTCCATATGGAGTCAAATTACGATGTATATGTTAGGTTAGGTTAAGTTGGATTTATAATCATTACATGGTTGCCAGTCCTAAGACTGTTCGGTGACACACCTAAATGCTAGTCTTCGTATTTCCCTAAAACTAGAACATTCCACAGCCTTAATTATTTGTGAACAATATGTCTCTAACTCGCCTATTTTCTTACTCTTTCTAATACCTCTTCATTTCTAACCTTCTCTATCCACTGTATCCTCATCATTCGCCTGTAACACCACATTGCGAACGCTTCTAACCTTTTCTTTTCCACCACGCCCACTGTCCATGTTTCGCACCCGTATAGCGTCGTGCTCCAAACATACACCTTTAACAACCTTTTCGGAATTTCTAAATTAACCGTTCGCGAGCATAGAAGTCACTTCTTTTAATTGAAGGCGATTCGACCCTGTAGTAGCCACTGTTTTATATCTAAACTTCTCCTCTTATCCTGAGTTATCTAACTTCCTAGACCCCGAAAATCAGTCAATCCTTCCAATTTTTT